CCCCCCCCCCCCCCCCAACAACAACTTCCCCAGATGGAAACATGTCATAATTAAATATCACTCAGGTTTCTGTAATGAGGCATAACAGAATTTGAATATTTGGTGAAGAGATAAAAAGCATGACATTTTTACCAGTTATTGCTGCCAAGTGACTGGTAATTATACACTAATTTTGTATTCATTTGAGGAGTAGGTGATAAATACATTATTTTTTCCCGGTCCTCCATGAGTCTAAATACCTTTTGAGTTTCCGAAGTTTGTGATGAAAAAATTGATTGACATTATGCTGTATTACTTTTGTGGCTAACCAACATCTTTGACAGGCTGATACACTGTTGTGTTTGGATTGCTTCAATGAGGGAAGATTTGTTGCCGGTCACTCTAGCCTTGATTTTGTGAAGGTCAGTTCCGCTAATGATTATGGAGATGCAGATGGAGATAATTGGAGCAACCAGGAAACACTACTTCTGCTTGAGGGGATGCAACTGTACAATGAAAACTGGAATCAAATTGCTGGGCATGTTGGTACGAAGTCAAAAGCACAGTGCATCCTTCATTTTGTGCATCTTCCTCTAGATGGTGCTTCGCTGGAAAACATTGATGTTCCAAACATACCTGGTTCGTCAAATGCACGGAGCCAAGATGATCATGGAATATTACATCCCAATTCAAATGGTAGCAATGCTGGTTTTATTATGCAGTATTTTTCCTTCTGTGCACATTGAGCAACTTCTCTGATTCCACACTTACATTTCTTATGTGAGACAGGGTCCAGCTTGGAAGATGGTGATTTTGAAAATAAATTTCCCTTTGCGAATTCCGGTAACCCTGTTATGAACCTGGTAAGTAATTTCTTCGGTATTCATGCTTAAGCAATATGCATATAACTCCCTCTCTATCTCTCCCCCACACTCCTCTTCCTCTCTCTTTCTATCTCTGCATGTTTTTGTCTTTAACTCCGCATGTTTTCATTTCTCTCTTTTATTTGCTGAAGTCACGTTAACCAACCTAAGATAAGTTGGAATACTCTTTCAATTATGGGTATACTTGGGGTTTTTCAATGAAGATTTATTATGGTCTAAATAGGTCACCCTTGAAACCAACGTAGACTCAAGATTATTTTCCAAACTGTTGCAGTTGTCAATGCCACTTCTTTATGGTCCCATATTGAGATAGCACCATACCAGGCAGAAAGCATTTCTACTTATTTCGGTTAATGCATTGAGTATTGGTGTAGTTGGGCTTTCTGTTCAGATTATGAACTACTATAAATAATTTTGTCAGCTTTTTCTCCCATCTTACTTTGCCATGGGAGAGTATCATCTTTTTTCTGTCCACGTAATTAACTGGGGATAGGTGTTTCATGATCTGTATATGGGTTTATGAATTGGGTCTTGGCGCAGTTGTAGCTGTCTCAACAGTTTATGAGTTGTCTTAAATAATTTGTGGCCTTGTCCTCCATCTTTCTGTGCATTGAGAGAGTAAAGTTCACTCTCAGCCCAGTAACTGACAGGTTTTTTATGATTTATTGGGCTTATTATGCGTAGTTGCATTAAAATGCATTTTTAATTTCATTGGAAATAGGAGAAGAAAACACACTTGGAGGTAGGGCCGGACTAAACTTCCGAACTGAATTGGATCCGAACCGAATCGAGCAGTTTTTCTTGATTTAAATACCCGAACAAGTATCTGAATCTCCCTAATTTTTTATCTTAAATACCCGAACCGACGGGTTCGGTTCGGTTCGGTTCTCGATTCGAGAAAAAAATCAAATCTCCCTAATTTTTTATCTTAAATAGTTAAATTATTTTATTTTTTAAAATAAATTGCTAATGATTTTACTATTTTTAATTTTCAGTCAAGCCCAACTTAATCAAATTGACTTGAGTTTTCTCTTATTCTACCGTAGTGTCATTTCTACCGTTCTATTATCGTGAACTAGACATCTTCCTCTTCACGTGATTTCAACAGTCATATCTATGAAGAACTCAATAAAGAGAAGTGCAAAAGATATTACGAGGTTGAACAACGTTATTTTGTAAAAGTTAAGATTCAATATGTCATAGTCGAATTAATGTAGCGTTGTTGTAATATAAAAAAAATTTAATTATTGTACGGAATCTCGGAACCGAACTGAACCAAATGGAACCGAACCCGAACGGTTCCATAATTAAATTTAGACCCGACTGTTCCATTTACTAAATACCCGAAAATTTTGGGTTCGGTTCGGTTCGGTTCTCTTTAGAACCGGTCCGGTTAACCGATCCGGACCATGCCCACCCCTACTTGGAGGAAACCAAAACTAAAAGGTGGGGTAAATATGGGTTTACCGTTTCACTTGAGTGAGAATGGGTCGATCAGATTTCACCTACCATTCGTTTTATGTAAACCATTTGACTGCTCTAGATTGATTTTATCTTACTTCTATACTTGCACATATTCCCTTGTCCCTTCAATGCCCTGACAGCGTTAAGGTGGTGTGGTTTGGTTGTATTTCCTCTTCCCGCCAGTGCTTTCTGTAGGAAAGAATGTCACAAGGTTTCTTACCCTGATATCGACTCGTTACTAGTTAAATTGCAGCATCGTTGTGCATATGTATTCAAAGTGAAGATCCTCCCTTTTTCCACCTCTTTGCCGTTCTTATTGAAATAACTTGTTTCTAACTTAACAATGCATAATTTTTCCTCAAAATTACTGGCTTCTCAGTTGGCTCCTACGTCTTCTCTCCACGTCTAATAAATACGTATTTGCTGTTGTTTCTAGGTTGCCTTTCTGACCTCTGCATTGGGGCCAAGAGTGGCTGCAGCCTGTGCCCATGCTTCCTTGGCTGCCTTGTCTAAGGACAATTGTAAGGGAGGGAGGAGTCCTCGGGGGGGAAACACAAATTGTTGTAAAAAAGGTATGCTGTGGATTATTTGTCTTCTTCTGATTTCTTCTTTTAGTTCCTTTGAATGACATGATCAGAAGATATGATTGGAGGACAAAGTCATTGGAGTCAGCAGGATACAGAGGCTTTTTCATTATCTGCTGAAAGTGTGAAAGCTGCTGCCAAAGCTGGTCTTGCTGCTGCAGCTTTGAAGGCGAAGCTTTTCGCTGATCATGAAGAACGTGAAATTCAACGGTTATCTGCTAATATTGTAAATCATCAGGTACCAACCTTGCTGATCTCATTGAGGACTCCGGTCTTTTATTTTTTCTGAAAATTTGGTGCATTTGCATTAGTAATTTTTTTTTGTACTGGGAACTGAGTTTTCTTTTAAATAATAAGTTTTATCTGAGCATTTTGTGTGCATGCAAGAGTGCTGTTATTTGAACTGGAGCCTTGTCGAAGCTTAATTGATCAAACAGAAAGAAAAAAAGTTGTTTGAGTAATAGTGTTAAAACCCTGTGCGGACCGACTGGTTGGCCGGAAAACCGCTGGCCTGGGCCCTTATTCAAGACAGCTGCCCTTAGTTGTCCGGAATCTCCGGATTGCACTTGACCAGGTCAAGAACTGGTCAAATCTGGTTGAACCAGCAGTTTTTGTATAAACCAGCCACCTTATTGGCCTGGTTTGAAAAATTATTTTGCCAAATTTGAGGGATTAATGGTTTGAGCTCACGATCTTCACTTTAAAATGTGGAAAGAGTACCAATGGAGCCAAGAACTGTTGTTATTACTTGTGTATTCATAGAATATATAATTGATTGATAGTAAATCATTTACTACCCTCTTTAATTATTTTTGAAAAAATTATGGTCAAGCGCATATTACATATAAATTGAATAAAATAAAAATTTGAACAAAACATTCTATAGCTTTTTAAAATCAAATAATTATTTTATGGTTTGTTATGTAGAGTAGAATTATATTTATCTAAAAGGAATTGAAAATGTTAATGGACTTAACTTTATTTTTTTATATAATTGATAGAATATTTGTCTGCAAAAATGTTAACACTATATCATTAGAAAATTATAGAATTCAAAAAATCATAAAATTAAAAAGCAAATATTATGCCCCTGTTTGGCACAGTTTTTTTTTTTTTTAAATTTATTTTTAACCACACAATCAAATAATTTTGCGCGTACACCCATAAAGTTTTCCGAGTTTTTAATCATACATTCTCAAAAAAATTACTTTTTGCAAAATCTATTATAAAAAGTCTACATCAAACAGGTCTAGTAAAAGATAAGTTTACAATATTAAGAATTTATGGACAAAAATGATTAGCGACAATTAACTTAAAAAATTTAATTTTGTCTTAAAATATAAATCTTGAAATTTTCTAAGTAATGACCTAGCAGTTTGATTAGCAAACCACCGGTTTAACAAGTGACCTGATGACCCAGTGCCTTGACCGGATCGGGCTTGATAACTATGTTTGAGTTTGTTTACTTTTTCAAAACTAAGCTGAAAAGCAGTTACGGCAACTTGTTTTGCAAAATAATTTCAAAAATGTTTTTTTATTTTTGTGAGGGTTAATATTTCTTTCCCACACCATCCTCCCACACAAAGCAACACCTTTGAAAGATGCTACCACACTACACACGTCTCTTAACATATCAGCATTAGGATGACAATATCTCAAGCTGTAAGATTAATAATTGCTCCACCAATTTCTGAATTTAGCCACTTCGTTTATAATTATCCCTGTAACATAAGTCTATTCATCGTCTTTCATTGTGTGCATCTTTAACTTTCCCCATTAAGTTTTTTCATGCTCCTTGCTAATGATGCATTGCCTTGAGAAAGCATTAACACCTCATTCTCTTTCTTTATGCCGTTTATCTGAACGTGGACGTACACGATCTTTATCTCGTAAGCAACATCTTCTATGCAGCAATCTAGGAAAGCTCTCCCTTTTGTTGGATCTCTTATTGGTCTAGTTTCTACTTCCGTGATCTGATTGAAGTTGTACCTCTTGGAACCCCCCAACCCTCCCCTAATATATTTCCTGTTATTTCCTTTTGGAGCACCCTCTTGCCAGGGCAAACTAACAAAATACTAACTTGTGAGCTACTAACCATTAAACAGTTTGGAAGCAGCAAACTTCCAGTTCAGATGACCATCCTCCTGAATTTGTGATGTTGACCTTTTTTCTCCCAGTTCTTCAGAGAATACATGTTGGATGACGTTTTCATTAGAATCATGCATTAATGCATATACATGTATCATAGGCATATCGATCATATGTCCTTGGTTGGATCTGTGATGCTGAAGCAAACGTATCACAACTAGAATAATTCAGAAAATTTGGATCCAAAAATCCATGGTAATTGACGAATCAGCTTAGGATATGATCAAGAAACATCACAGATTTACCTGTGCTGTCTAAAACTACTAGTCATCCTTGAATTAAAATATAACGAGTTATGGGGCTGACAATAATTAGTCTTGTGACGATGATATGTAGAGTTTGTCGACTATTACAAGGTACACTTTCACTTAAAATTAGTCAGTATCTCTCTTTCAAGGTTTTTAATGCTGTCCTCTACTTTTCTACTACTTGCAAATGGATTATCATTTGATATTCTGTTTAATATTTTATTTCAGGAAGTTGTAATGTTCTTGCCTTGAATTGCTTAATCCATTTATTATGATTCTATTCTTCAGATGGAAAGGAAATACTATATTTCTTAAATACTAGGCCTTCATGATATTACTGGATATCTAGGATGTTCAATTGTTCTTCCTCTTCCCTTTCAGTTGAAGAGATTAGAGCTTAAGCTGAAGCAGTTTGCAGAAATCGAGGCCTTATTGATGAGAGAATGTGAACAGATGGAAAGAACGCGGCAGAGGTTCGCTGCAGAACGAGGCCTCATGATGTCAGCACAGTTTGCTGGAGGTTCTCGAGCAATGGGCCCACCAGGTGTTGGTTCTGCCATTGTAAATAATAACTCGGGAAACAGGCAGCATGTTGTTTTAGGCTCGCAACCACCTTTTGTATCTGGGTATGGCCACAACCAACCTGTCCATCCCAATATGTCCCTTATGCAACAAGAAGGAATGTATAATCTTGGGCCCCAATTGCCACTTACAGCTATACAACCGTCCTCTTCTGCCCCGAATGTACTGTTCAACTCTGGAAATTCCCAGCTGTCTCTCAGTCATCCGATGCTTAGACCTTTACCCGGGACTAAAACTGGGTTAGGTTAAAATGGAAGCTATTGGTTCATCAGGATATTCTAGGATTAGTTCGTCTATTCTCTTGCTTTTCACATGAAAAAGAGATGAAGGGACTATTTGAAATGGATTCGAGTTGCTGTGACTGGGCTTGATGAGCTTGGAAGCAAGGCCTAGGTCCGACCCAAAGTGAGAGTGGTTAAACCAATTGGTTGCTGGTGCAGCCATGTTTTTTGTTATGAGCTTGAATTTCTACATCCAAGTTCATTGTGATCCATCACTAATCAGATTTAGGAATTTCTCAAGTAGGATCTTTGAATCTTCCGTACTCTTGAGCTGCATAGATAATGAAGATTTTGCTGAAAACAGCAATGTGCATTGTACGGAATGGTTTTTGCTGAAATCTTTCCTCTTGATATGGAGAATTGCGACAGGTTGAATCAATGAATGGCCAACATTTTGTTTCCGTCATGTGTTTTTTGCGGTGAGAACTAGTACCCCGTGACAGGACATGATTATTGAATTTCTATAAAGATGCAGCATAGATTTTCAAGTTTAGCACACTTAGGCGATGCTCGACTTAAAAAAGAGCTAGCCTATCATGTTAGGGGGGGAAAAAAAAAAAAAATCATAAATCGGGTGTATAGTTTACATCAATTCACAAATCAGGTTTATAATTTGAAAATTCAAAATTCAGGTATTAGATAATTAATTAAAAATATTTATTAATTAAGTCACAATTATACAATTAATGGTCACATATATATAATTATAGGTCACAACTTATATACTAGTCACATATTATTAAATTAATTGGTCACAAATTATTTCAACGTCACAAATCAAAATTTTTATAAGTCACAATTTATTTCATTGATCACAAATAAAAAAAATTACAGGTCATAGATTATAAATTGGTCACAAATTTTTAAATTTGTTGGTCACAGAACCACAAACAACACCTTCCACGGCACCATTGCACTACCGTCCCTGTCAAAATCCACCCTTTCTTCCCAAACTACCATGCGGTCCACACCACAGCCATCACCCCACCAACAAATAATCAAGTCCTCCATCGCCACCACCTCCATCTACACCACCAACCTAAACCGCCTTACAATCTATAACAAAAACACCACTATCATCACTGCCTCTCGACAGCAACATCACCGTCATGACCATCGCCATCACCAGACCGTACAAAATTGCCACCACGCCACAGTAAAGCAAAGCCACCATAAAATACTGACGGCAACACCACAAAATCACCTCAAAAGCTACTACAAAGTCACCACTAATCGCCACAAACCATCACAAAATAATATAAAATCGCCATCGGTTTGCCACTGTAGCGACAAACTGAGTGTTGCGGCTAAGATCAGGGGCGCTTAGAGCCAGTACTTCCAGCTGAAGCGAGACGGCTGAGAAGAGAAACGGTGGAGAGAGGGGGAAATGATGAAAAAGAAAGGGGAAATAGATCTAGGGCCTTCCCTGCGCCGGAGCCGTTGCCATCCTCACCGTGAGACAGTCGGCGATCATGAGAGAGGTGAGAGAGAAACTGAGATAAGAGAGTGAGAGAAGAATTGAAATTATTAGGGTTTGTAATTAAATTGGGTGGATATTGTTTAATTTATAGATACTTATTTTTGAATAATGAAACTTGATCCCTGATTTTTGAATTGTGATCTTTAAACACCTGATCTTATGTAATTTCCTCATCATGTTATTTGAGGTGTAAAGCAAGTTGGGCAGTCTGACTTGGCATGGATTCAGTTGGTGGGTTGCATTCAAAGTTCAACGGGTCTATGGGCCAACAAAAACTTGATCCAGCATTAGGCCGCGCGATGTTTTAGTTACAGCTATCTGGAGTCTGAAAATGTGCTATGGTTATCTCAACGCATTCTACCTTTGGAACCAAGAGTTACTTTATTTATTTATTTTTATTTTTAACTCAAGTGAAAGATAAATGAAAAGGCCATGATAATTTTAAAATCTGGTTGATCCAATTGAGATTTCAATTGAAGTTGAACGATCTAAAATGAAATTAACCTGATATATATGCAGAGAGCTTGCATTTAAATTCTGATGGTTTTGCAATTTATTCTTTTGTGTTTAGAAATATGATGTTGACAATTATGAAGTAACAAAAGTCGAAATTTAAGTATCACAAAGTCAAGACACTGACGATAGGTTAAAAACATTTGCTTAATACAAGTAAATTAACAATCACCAAGAGCTAGAACATTATTTTCCTTCCCTCATTTATATGTACTCGATAATTAACACCAGATGCATTTATAAACAAGAACTTGCAATGAAGATGGCTAAAGAACGAAAGCCGGCTTAAAAAATCAAAGATCAAACAAAGGCTCCCTGAAACTCAACAAATTATCACGAAAATGAAGCAAAGAACAAAATTTTGTCGAGTTGAAGACTTCCAAATTTAGAGTAAAGATACACAACAATAAAGATGAATACCCAGAGTACTAAGGTAAGACAGTATGTTATAAATACTCGAGCATACAACATTTTAAACCTCACTTTTCTTTTGCTTCTTTGATTTTCTTTTGTCAGAATGGTCCAAGGATCCAGTGGAGGTAACTGCACTATTTCCTCTTCCTGAATCTTGGGCAGACAGACCAGTGGACTTACTTGACTCTATCAACACGTCCTCTCTTTTTAGGCTTTGGAGATCCCCCAGGAACAGACATGGAACTCTTGTTTTTACTACTTGGCACAGATGAAACATTACCACTCATTATTTGAGAGCTTCTTTGATTCAAGGTACCGACCCTCCAAAGTTTAACATAAGAAAACCCTTGATTTTGTCAAGGGGTAAGGGAAGAGCCGGTAAAGTTCAAGGTGTCGACCCTTCACATAAAACAGAATTAAATTCCTGTGAAAAAGAAATTTTTTTCTTTTATTTATTTATTTTTTTGTGTCATTGATGTTTCTAAAAACATGATAGAAATATTGAAAATTTAGGAAAATGACCACTCATTATTTGAGAGCTTCTTTGCCGAGAACTTCGAGAAGGAGTTGCAAAGTGACGACCCGACATTGTAGAAGTAGCAGCAGAAGACCTCTGAGACATCTCTTTCAAGTTACTGCTATTGTGCTTTTGAAGTTCACTAGGTTCAGGGTAATGGACAAGAGATACACGCCTTGAGATCTTCCCAGCTGAAATATAATGCATCAATGGAAAATGAAACCAAATTTACGATGTACATTTCACCACAACATTAAGGAGAACTACTTCTGCACTACTCCAACACAAAGGGACAATAAATGACAGAATTGTCTATAATTTTCAGTTGAAAGTCCAAAGTCCATTCTCTCTTGTGAAAAAAATAAATTCACACATATTTATTTGCTTCAGTTAACAATCATAATAACCAAAAATAAATTAACTTACAAGAAGTCTAGTCCATTAAATCATATGTTATTAACACTTGGCAAACGACATTTGAATCACAGTTCGTGTATGTTGCGGCCATCCATGTGCTAGGTCATATGCCAGTTGCAACTTCTATTTTAGCATGTCATAACCATGTTGGTCGGTAATGGTTCCAACACAAACAAGAAAAGATAACTAAATGGATAAATCAAGTCAACTAGTTTACAACATGAAAACAACTAGTTCTTAAAATCAAACTACTAACTTCATGATGTTGGCTACAGATTCTAATTTATTTTTTAAATTGTCCACAGTTCAGTGCAGGTACACAACGCAGAGAATCATTCTTGGGTATTTGCAAACAACTGGGCATCAGGTCAGCTGCCCTATCTTGTGTTCATATTACAATGATGGATAAGGATATGAAAGAAACGTAGAAGGTTGATAAAGGCAGTAAAACTTCAAATTTATGAAATATATCAAGTTTTATTATTATTATTTTTGCCAACTTCTACATCTTAATTTATTTTATCAAATCCATAACCACTCGATCATGTTACCTCGCGTTTGTATCTGAAAAGAACTTGTACCGGACATGTCCAACTAGTAATTGCATACCCAAAATGTTAATATACTAATAGCAAACATGACATTACTCATTATTTCTATAATTAATCACGTTAATAAAAGCAACAATCCAAGAAAGCTACATAAAGCAAGACAAGAAAACTCAAAAATGAGTACCAATTTTTGACTCTGATGCCGAAGATAAGAAAACCGTTGCCTCAGGATCCTGGGATTTGAAACTAACCACTTCATACGATTTTCCTGTCACCACAAAACAATGCTAAAACAGTGAAGAAATAGCTAAAATATATTGCACATAGGCAAATATGGCAGCGCTTAACCCAAATTACCAGAAGAACCATCAAAACTGCCCAAATGTCCATCACGGTGAAGCTTTAATGACAGTTCTTGCCCGTCAAAATCAGGAGCCTACATTACATAGCAGGACAATGCAATTAAGCCAGGACTCTTGAAAACAAGCAACGATGACGTCACTTAAAAAACAAAATCATTTGTTCAGCATAGTTGTTTCAAGAAGCAAGATGAGTTTTGAGGGAAAGAATGTCAAATACACAGAAATTCAGTTTTTCGGCCGTTATAGGATGAAAATAGAAAAGGAAAACATAGAGGGAAAACTCTTAACATGTATGCTTTCAGAAGTCAATGTGATAAAACTGTACATAGAAGACCATGACCGAAAATTTTTAGAACTGGACATTAGTTTTTGATATTCAACTATATGTTAAATTTTGTGGGTTCAACTATTACTTTATCCATCTCCACATTCATGTTCGACATAAACACAATCTTCCACCAGAGATGTTGATCATTTTATTTTGAAACAAGTTAGATTGAAAAAAAAAAAAATTACAATTTGATACGAATAGATAATGAACAAGACACAAGTAAAAAGATTTTTACTTGATTAATGGGCCACTGAATGAGCCATAGCTCCGTTGAGTCGGTTAAATTGAGTTCGACAAGTGGATCTTTTTTATCCTCCTCGAACTCAGATGTTGGTTTGTAACGTGCTTCACCGGAAACATCCATAGTCTCCTAAAATTCAGCTACCAAGTGTATGTGACCCTATATTGCAATAGATGAAGCATTGCCAACTCAGTAGGGGAAATAGATGTGTTGATTATTCTTCCATCATTCCATGTATATTAACAACAAAATCTTCTAAAAGGTACAACAACTTCATTGCTCTAGTCATAGGCTGTTTTCAAGCCAAACGTTGAGCACTCAAAACAATCAACGTACAAGGATATTCTTGTTCCACATCCACACATCCACATATGAAAATAAAATATGCACACGCGGAAACACAGTGTACATCTAACATTAAAACTGAGGGAAGCTCTCAATTGATTGGGAAAAAAGAAAAATTCACGCACGCAATAAAGTAAAATATTTCATAAGATGCAAGTTTTATAACATTACCTGATTAATTATTTACTGAGAGTATAAGGGAAGAAGAAGGCAAAGCGCCGCGGGAGTCTGGGTTGGGAGAGAGAGGGAGTCAAATTGGTCCAGGGTTTTATTGAAGTTCAAACGAATATCGTTCTCCAAAATAGCGAAGGAGTCGTACGTGTCTATTTTAAAGGGGTAAAATCTTTAGTCAATTGCGTCCATATGGTAGGAACGTAAAAGAATCGGATATAAATTGGGGAACAATACATCAATGGAGTTTTTAAATATCACCATTTCAAAATTAAGGTTTAAAGTTTTAAATTTCAAGAATCAGGTTTTCATTAAAATTTATTTATGAATGAATGAATAAATTATATATTTTATTAATAAATATATAAATGTCACAGATATATGCAATTTAGTTACAATTCAAAAATTTTAAGGTCACAATTGAAAAAATTTATAGGTCACATTTCGTTCATCGGTCACAAATTAAAATTTTAAAAGTCACAATTTGTTCATCGGACACAAATCACAACATTTATAAGCTACACAATTTATTTTATTGTCACAGATTACTTTTATTGGTCACAACTTAATAAATTTGTAGATCACACAATATTTATTGGTCACAATTTATTCTTTATTGATCACATACCAACCAATTTATTGGTTACAATCAACAAAACATTTGTGACCACCACCACCAACACAACACCACCGTCGTCTCCGTCGCCACCGCAACAGCAACCGCCACCGTCACCTCCGCCAACACCACCATAACCAATTTATTGGTCACATATTATTTATTGGTTACAGATGAACCAATTTAACGGTCACAGTCAACTAAATGATTTGTGACCACAATCAACGCTTGTGACCACCACCTCGCCACTCCCTCCCAACAGCATCACTACCATCGTGTCGCCGAACCACCACCTCGCGACAGCAACAATGCCACTTCAAACAAATCAACACATCGCGGAAAACACCACAATGTCATTGCACCGAACCACCACCACCTCGACTGTCGCCACCAACATCTCAACACCACCATCACTAAGATCCACCACCACCGTCTCCAAAAAAACCACATCCACCAACAAAAATGACCACCACCATTGGCTGTCAGATCTGTAACCATCTCACAATCGCCTTCAGCATCTCACCCTCACAACACCACCACCTCATCGCCGCCACCACTACCTCACAAGTTGAAATAGAAACAAAAACAAAACAACCACCAACCCAACACAACACAACAACCAACACCACCATCAACACCACCACACCTCCAAAACCGCCACTAGATTTCTCCACTCCAGCAGAGATGATGCCTCTACACAGTGACTCCGGCTAAGCAGATCAAATCAGAGGAGAACAAAATCACCCTAAAATACCCCAAACTCCTTCCCCAAATTTTTTCTTTTGCCGGTGACTAAAATACCCAAACCCCTCCCCATATTTTTCTGCAACAATCGCAGGTGCACCGTCGGACAACGCTGCTGTGAATTTGCACCAGTCTCGCCACTGCCGTTGGAAGGTGTTGCGAAAGACAGAGTTCACAACGTTGCGCAGGGAGTCATCGCGCAGCGGTCTACTAGAGCGATAGAGAGATCGCGTTTGCCGTCGTGCACTCTTGTCGCCGATGGTGTGCCTATCGCCGCCTCGATCGCCGATGCTAGGTACGGTGTGGGGGTGGTTTCTCTCCAGACAGAGCCTGGAGAAGGGAGATGAGAAGAGTGAAGAGAGAGAGAGAGAGAGAGAGATTTATGTTTTAAATTGATTTTAGGGTTTAGATGGGTAGATAGGGTAGGGAGTGTGTATATAAATTAATTTATAATATTATTATTAATAATAAAATATTATTTTATAATAATTAAATAAATGTCTGATTTTTGTATAATGAAACTTTCAACCTGATTTTTGAATATTGATTTTGAAATGTATGATTTTGTGTAATTTTCCCTATGAATTATATTTATCTATATCCGATCCAATAAGAATAATTATTCGATTCGATCTGATCCGATAAGCATAATTATCCGGATATTTGATCGTTAAATTCATATCCGTTTTGTTATATTATCGGATATTCGATCCGAAATTAAAGAAATTAGGAAAAAAATAATGTTGGAATCAACTTTTTTTATTCTTTCTTTTTCCAAATTTTCCAATTCTTAAACGGATTTAATAATTATAAAATTTTCAACTTTTTTATGTTTTGAATTTGATGATTTTTTTATTTTAGNTTTTCTCATTTATTTATTTTAGTGACAAATAATGTGTCATAGAAATATTTTACCGACTCAATTATTTATAACAAATCGGATCGGATTGTTATCGGATCGGATTGACCTATATCCATATTTGATCCATTTAGTTAATGGATTATCAGATTTGGATCTTGATCGGGTTATCAGACTTAGACCCTGAATCCATCTTCTATTAATTTCATCGAATTCGGATCGGATTCAGATCAAAATCCAATCAATTAACAGCCCTAGTCCATGGTCACTGAACTCGATTTTTTCGATTCCTTGCTAAAATTTAACACGTCATTTTTAACTACTAAATTTATTTAAACATTGAACGTTACTCATTAACATAATATCGGTTTCAAACCTTTAATGAAATTAGTGACGTAGCTAATGGAATGCACATATGTCGCCTTGTCACATTGTTAATAAATTGCTACGTTTTCGATTGCTCATTGAACTTTGAGGTGGTCGAATTTTGACCACTGAACTTATGAAAACAACGTCGATCTCTCGTTCGATAAAAAATGTGTATTACAAGCGTACGAGTCACATAAAAGTAGTATTCTAAAAAGCGTAAAGCGTGGCTAGGTATGGATGCCAAACTTCAAGCTTTACGAGCTTAGACATAAAAAATTGTTTTTTTTTTTAATTTTTAATAATTATAAAAAAAATCAATAATTTAAATAATATATATCAAACATCTAAAATTATAAAATAATGTATTTACTTAATACTTCCTACATAAAGATAAGTTTCAAATCATAATTACATAAAGTAGATAACGTCTAACTTAAATGTTATCTAATCTAACCCTTTATCAGACTCCAATTCAATATCTTCTTCTTCATCTAATTCGTCATCCATATCGTCTGATACAAAATCATCATTCCCGGGCTCCCTTATTTCATTTTGATCATTTCTTGTGCCTCTTGTAAGTTGTAAGTTATCTGTGGGTTGTATTAAAAAAAAAAGGAAAAAATTGGGTCTTTTAAAATCTGGGCATGAGGCGGAGGCGCGCCTAGGAATGCCTATGCGAGCATTAATCGGTCAATATAGTCGTTGACTGCTTAATTTCCGCTTAGACTTAAGGCGGAGCGTTTTCATCACGCTTCCTGCATAGGCGACGCCTATGCTTTTTTTTAGAACACTGCATAAAAGTAATAAAGCGGACAAATGAGTCCAGATTATCGATCCCACGAGAAATAATTACTCAATTACACAATAGTTAAATTTAAATTTAACATACTTTCATAGAATTTTAAGCTATTTTCATCATTTGAATTCAAATTCATTGCGTGTTCATTATTAAAATTAAATTAAAATATAATTTGGATTTTGCAACAAAACACACAATTAATTGAATTTTATAGATTTTGCAATGAAACAGACAATGAATTTAATTAAAATTTGAATTTTACAACGAAACACAATAAATTTAAAATTAACAACAAAATAAACAATAAATTTGAATTTTTCAAATGGTGAAAATAGTTTAAAATTCTACAAAAATATGTTAAAATTAAATTTAACTATTATGTAATTGAATAATCATTTCTCGTGGGATCGACAATCCGGACTCCTTTGTCCAGCTTTTTAGTTTTACGTTATCTGTACATTTATGGTACACATTTTTTAATGAACAACAAATCGACGTCATTTTTATAAGTTTAGTGGCCAAAATTTGACTGCCTTAAAGTTCAGTGTGCAATCGAAGATATTTTTCAAAGTTTAGTGAGCAATCGAAAACTTAGTAATTTATTAAAGGTGTGACGAAGCGTCACTTGTGCATTCCGTTAGTCATGTCACTAATTTCGTTAATGGTTTGAAATTTATGTTTTTCTATGAGTAACGTTCAACGTTTTAATAAGTTTAGTGACCAACACTCGACATCTTAAATTTAAGTGAGCAAACGATGACATACACATAGGTCAATGACCATTGGGACAATTAACTTAAAATCTGTAATCAACATTTAAAAAAAAAAATTGGAAATATTTCAATAAAAAAATTACAAATCGATTATGCTATATGTACATCACAATTTACAGATTTATTTATCAATAAACGACGTGATGGTATTTGCCTAAGTGAAAATCTCACCAACCAAATAAAAAAAAAATTCCCCTGCCATTAACCCACATTACATATATAACTATTTAAGTGGTGAAAAGATTTTAATAGTTTTAGTTCAATTTATCGTCACTCATTACAAAATATGTAAATGGTGATGTACACAAGTGTTTTTTTTACCAAAATGTGAAAGAAAAGGAAAAAATAAAAAGAAAAGAAAAGATAAAAAAGCCAATCCTACATTTTTTACATCCACCTGCTTAAGCTCCAAGTCATGTTTAGCCGCTACTCCAAGTAAAGCTCGAA